ATTGAGTCTTAGTAAATCCACATGTACTTAATAGAGTGGTAATTAGCCAGTTCATAGCACAGTGTTTCACTGAAGACAACCTATGTTATTGGGTTCTAGTAAATCCTCATGTACTTAATAGAATTGTGATTGGCCAGTTCATAGCACAGTGATGCACTGCAGACAACCTTTATTACTGGGTCTTAGTAAATCCACGTGTACATAATAGAGTGTTGATTGGTCACTTAATAGCAGTGTGATGCACTGCAGAAAACCTATATTATTGGGTTCTAGTAAATCCACATGTACTTAATAGAGTGGTGATTGACCAGTTCATAGCACAGTGTGATGTACTGCAGACAACCTATATTATTGGGTCCTTGTATATCCACGTGTACTTAATATACTGATGATTGACCAGTTGATAGGACAGAGTGATGCTCTGCAGACAACCTTTATTATCGGGTCATAGTAAATCCACATGTACTTAAGAGACTGGTGATTGACCAGTTAATAGCACAGTGTGATGCTCTGCAGACAACCTTTATTATCGGGTCATTGTAAATCCACATGTACTTAATAGACTGGTGATTGACCAGTTGATAGCACAGAGTGATGCACTGCAGAAAACTTTTATTATCGGGTCCTAGTAAATCCACATGTTCTTAATAGAGTGGTGATTGGTCAGTTCATAGCACAGCGTGATGCATTGCAGGCAACCTTTATTATTGAGTCCTAGTAGATCCACATGTACCTAATAAAGTGGTGATTGGTCTGTTCATAGCACATTGTGATGCACTTCAAACAACCTTTATTATCATGTCCTAATAAATCCACGTGTACTAAATATTCTGGTCGTTGACCAGTTGGTAGCACATACTGATGCACTGCAGAAAACCTTTATTATTGTGTCCTGGTAAATCCACATGTATTTATTTGAATGGTGATTGTTCAGTTTATAGCACAGTGTGATGCGTTGCAGACAACCTTTATTATTGGCTCCTAGTAATTGCACATGTACTTAATAGAATGGTGATTATCCAGTTCAAGTACAGTGTGATGCACTGCAGACAACCTTTATTATTGGGTCCTAGTAAATCCACATGTAATTAATAGAGTGGTGATTGGCCAGTTCATTGTACAGTGTAATCCCCTGCAGACAATCTTTATTTTTTGGTCCTAGTAAATCCACATGTATTTTAAATGGTGATTTGCCAGTTTGTAGTACGGTGTAATGCTCTGTTTACAACCTGTATTATTGGGTCCTATTGAATCCACATGTACTTAATAGACTGGTGATTTACTAGTTTCTAGCACAGTGTTATGCACTGCAGACAACCTGTATTATTGGTCCTAGTAAATCCACATGTACTTAATAGACTGGTGATTGACCAGTTGATAGCACAGTGTGATGCACTGCAGACAACCTTTATTATTGGGTCATAGTAAATCCACATGTACTTAATAAAGTGGTGTTTGGTCAGTTGATAGCACAGCGTGATGCTCTGCAGACAACCTGTATTGTTGGGTCCTATTGATTCCACATGTACTTAATAGAGTGGTGATTTGCCAGTTGATAGCACAATGTGATGCACTGCAGAAAACCTTTATTATCAGGTCCTAGTAAATCCACGTGTACTTAATATACTGGTGATTGACCAGTTGATAGGACAGAATGATGCACTGCAGAAAACCTTTATTATCGGGTTCTAGTAAATCCACCTGTATTTAATAGAGTGGTGATTGACCAGTTCATAGCACAGTGTGATGTACTGCAGAAAACCTTTATTTTCGGGTCCAAGTAAATCCATATGTACTTAATAGAGTGGTGATTGGTTAGTTCATAGCACAGTGTGATGTACTGCAGAAAACCTTTATTTTCGGGTCCAAGTAAATCCATATGTACTTAATAGAGTGGTGATTGGTTAGTTCATAGCACAGTGTGATGTACTGC